CAGTTGACAAATTTTGAAGGGAATTTTAGTAGTTTCAGGATTTGATCTATAGCCTTCCAGCTTACATTGTCATAGGCTTTCCGAAGATCCAGTTTCATCAAACACCTAGGGGATATGCCTTTCCTGTTGTATCCTCTTGCTAGTTCCTGACATAGTAGTACGTTATGGACTAGTTCTCTCCCATGTATGAAAGCCCCTTGGTTCAGATTCACTATGTGTGGCAGGATGTTTTTAAGTCTGTTGCACAAGATCTTAGAGATGATTTTATAAATTACGTTGCAGCAAGCAATGGGTCTGAGGTCATATGGGCTTTTAGGATCCTCATTCTTTGGGATAACAACAATATTTGTAGAGTTGATTTGCTTGAGGGTATCTTCTTTATGAAAGAAGTCAAGTATTGCCTGTGTGATTAGACCCCCCACCTTCTTCCATTGGTTTTTAAAGAATCCGCTGCTAAAACCATCTGGCTCCGGGCTTTTATTATTAGGAATCTCAAACAGACTAGTCTTTATCTCATCAGGGGTTATAGGAGCAATCAAGGCCAACTGCTGATCAATTGAAAGTGTATTACCCATAGAGATAATGTTCGGGTTAATATCCTCAGTCTCCATTGTCCTCCCTAGTTGATTTTGATAAAACTCTACTAGTACTTTAGCCACTTTGGTTTTCCCCTCCACTACTTCTCCATCCTCTTTAGCAATCGCAGTAAGATGAGTTTGGGCTCTCCTTTTCTTCACCCAAGCATGGAAAAGCTTAGTATCTTGATCCCCATATGTGATCCAGTCTGCCTTTGATTGTTGACATTTCATGAGGAAGCTAGCTCTGAGTTTTTGGTGTAGCTCTTGAGTCAACTCTTTTTCAAATTTTGCCAAATTTGTGTTAGAACTGTTTGCCCTCTGATCTGCCTGAACAATGTGCAGTTTAATTCTAATTTGATCAATTTGGGAATCCAAATTTTGGAACTTACTTTTGTTCAGCTTCTTCAGGGGGCCTTTGAGCTGCTTTAATTTTTAAATAACTTGGTACATAGGATAACCTTTGTGTTCCTGGTCCCAAACATCAGCCACTAGAAGAGGAAATTGGGGATCTAGGGTCCACATGTCACAAAATCTGAAGTGATGTCCAGCTTTAAATTGTTCCAGTTTCTGTATTATCATGGGAGAATGATCTGAGATTCCCCTTTCTTTAAAATACACCTTGTAATCAAAATTGCACATCCAGTTAATATTCCCCAAGACTCTGTCCAGTTTGGAGTAGATGCGCTTATCATAATCTTGGTTATTTGTCCATGTGAATCTAGGTCCTTCAAATGGTAGATCTTCTAATCCACACAAATTTAGACAGTCTTGGAACGGTCTCACTTCCTCCCAACTAACAGGATTGCCACCAATTTTCTCATCCTGTTTCAGAAATGTATTAAAATCCCCTAAAACACACCAAGGGGCAGAGGTAGCTAGCCTTTGTAAGCTCTCCCATAATTCCCTCCTTTTGTTGGATTCATTATGGGCATAGACAAAGGTTAGGTGTCCCATTTTATTAACTCCAAACTCTCTGACTTGGCAGTGTACAATCTGATCTGTATGCTCCAAGATCTTAACATCAAGCTTTGTTTGGTCCCAAATAACCCAGACCCTACCCAGTGGATGGGCTTGATTATTGATGAAAGACCCCCATCCTCTACAAACTCTGTTCTCCATATCTTTAAATTTGCTATCCTTTATTTTAGTCTCCAAAATTCCAAAAATAGCTAACTTATACTTATTTATTATATTTCTAACTTCAGCTTGTTTATTAAGGCTGTTAAGCCCTCTAATATTCCAACAACCAATCATAATAAGAAAGGGTAGTGTCCCTTATATGGGACAGTCATCAGATCCTTATGTATATTCCCCACATAATTACCTTCTGTACCTTCCAAAGACCTCCTCCTCGTAGCTTTTTTCTTTGAAATCTCAAGGAATCCTGAGTCATCAGAGTTCTCTGGATTCTTTGCCTCTACATTTTCCTTATCCCTCTTTTTATCTTCCTTTTCTGTTTCAGTTCTCTGGGTATGGAGGGTGGTGCTGCTTCATCCTTGCCCCCCTGTGGTGTGGTTTTAGGTCTCCAAATTTTCTTTCTTCCTGTACCCTTTGTGTTTTCAGTATTTCTCTTTCTACACATCTCGAACACATGACCAATTCTATTACAGTGTGAGCAAACAGTGGGAGCCCATTCATACTTTATCTTCTGGGTTATTATTTTGCCCTCTTCATTCAGGAAATTAATTTGATCAGGAAATGTTTGGTTAATCTGGACTTCAACTTGAATACGGGCATAGGACCATTTGACTCTTGAAGCTGTTGCCCTATCCCTCCTGATTGGTTGTCCAATAGCACTGCCCAATTTGCTTAATGCCGAGAGACTCCAATATTTCATCTCCAAATCAGGGAACTGAATCCATATGGGTATGTCCTTTCTTTCCAGCAGGTTAACTTTACATCCTGGATACCATTTTTGAACAAATACTGGTTTGTTGTCCATAAAGTAGTACTTCTTCTTTATGATCTCATCCCTGTCCTCTACTTTATGGAATCTAACAATAAATTGTCCCTCCCTTAAGAATGAAATGTCATCAATTTCATATGCTTTCCAGATTCTAGATAAAAATCCTTTAACTATTTCTAGTGGGGGGTTTGCTCCTAAGATACAACACACCAGTGCAGATTCTCAGTACGTACCCGGTTCAATCACATCCTCTGTTGTTAGTTTGATTATACGCTGGCCTTCATTTTCTTCAATCGGGATAAACTTCAGGGCAAAATTCAGGTCATCCTGCATACCAACAACATCAGCGTAGCTTTTTTTTCTTCAGACTTATCCTCAGCCTCTTCCTCTGTCGCGATCAACTCCTCGATCTCCAGATCTGGTTGTGGTTGGATGGGTGTAGCACATCCAGTAGGTGATTTCTTGTTCGAAACCTCAGGGTCTTCCTTTTCTGTTGCCTTCTCTTCAATCGACGGTGTAGCAATCGCATCTCCGGTGTCTTTTCCGATAGGTTTTGGCGGTCGCCCTCTCTTTCCCATGGCTAGAGAGAGAATCTCGCCTCTTTATTTTTTGTCATTCAATTTATTATTAATGTTGATAGTCAAAAATTTCAATAATACATATTTAATGATATGTAAAAAACTTATATGTATAAAAATACATAATATTATTTATATATTCTTTAAGGAACCATATATGCATTTGGGGAGAAATTATTTAAAAAAAAGTGACATTTTGTTTTTGCATGTAGTACATGCGAAATGGTTTAAAAAATATTGGGAAAAGCTACCAACTGGAAAAAATAACTTTGATGTTATGCTTTAGCATGTAGAACATGCAAAATGTTTGGGAAAAAAAACAAATTCGCATGTATAACATGCAATAGTTTGAATGGGGAATTACATCTGTGAAAAGTTCCCACGGAGGGAATTGTTCCTTGCGAATGACGCCGCTGAATTCCCACATGCTATGATCTTTGGTTGTAATGCCATGAACAGACCTGTCATACACACAAACACAAACCTTTAAATAGTTCAACCCACCCAATCATTTCACCCCCCACAAACTTCTTAACTACTCCGATCCCTAAACCGACAACCATAACTACGCTAAGGATCGGATATGCCTCCCCCCGCTAACCTCTCACTTACCATTTTATTTAATCTTTCTAAATTTCTAAAATGATCCTTTTTAGTAACATATTTTTCAAATCAGTCTTCAATAAAAATTTATTACTTCATGATCCTCTATAATTGAGATTTATTCTTTAGATTAGATAGTTCTTCGTAAATAATGTTACTCAAATGATGATTAATTGGGAGTATTTTGACATTTTTCATTAGCTAAATTTAAAATAAGTTGTTCTTAAAGTGATTATTTAAAATGAAGTGTTTTCTCAAGATCGTTTTTTCTAATTACAAATGTGTATTTGATTCAAATTTTAAATTTTTTATAGGTTTTTAATAATTTATACTCCTTTTTAATAATCTCAATTATTTTAATTTTTACATTTAATTTATAGTATATTATGTATAGTTCATGTACTATTTTAATTTTTACATTTAATTTTATAGAAATGACCATTTTGAAAATGTACTCTAAATTTAGATGATAGAAATACAATAATACACTTCAATTAATAATCATTTGAACAATATTATTTATGAAGGATTACCTAAAAAATAAATCTCAATTATAAAGGACCATGTATGTAATTAGAACTTATCGATGACCGAATTAGATTATATACCTTATTACAAATGAGTATTTTGAGAATTTATTTTTGTATAAACTATACACCCTATGTAAATTTGATTCTTATAAAATGTTAAAAAAATATATTTAATAAGATTTAAAATGCGCAGATTAAGTTTATATAAAGGAGTGATTTTTTATTGAACCATATGCTTTTTTTCTTTAAAAATGCTACATTTTAAAAAAGAGCAATGCTAGGGGTACGGTACACCAAAGGTGTACCCCATTGGTCTCCCACCTCTTTCTCCACCATTTAGTTTTATTTTATTTTTATTTATTTAATTTTTTAGTCTCTTGCCCTTTTTTGTGGTTATTTATAAACTTTTCCTTTAAAAAAGAAAAAAAAGGAAACTATAACAATTATTACGAAAAAAGGAATTAGATTGGATTATGCTATGTGTACCCCAAGGGTTGTACCCCAATTTGTACCCCGCAGTTTTGCACCAACACAAAAACTAATTTTTGTTAAATGCACCAACATTTGTGTCCGTGTGAATTTTTATTAACGCACCAACACTTGTGTCGGTGTAAACCATCGAAATGTTTGTGCAAACCTGTGGTGTACAAATAGGGTATATTTTTTGGTGTAAGTGTAGCATGGTCCAATTAGATTTCATTACCCCCTCCGTCCCTTTTAAAATCTTCCTTTTTTCTTTGACAGCTTTTAAAATCTTCTACTTTGACACTTAAGATCAATTTTTTTAAAGTTTGACTACAAATTATAGAAAAAATACATTAAGTTGTATTATTTAAAAAAAGATAAAAATTGAAATAAAAAAATTAGTACAAAAAAAGGCTATTAAATTTTATTACTCCCTCCGTCCCTTTTAAAACCTTCCTAGTTTGACTCTTAAGATTCTTTTTTTTTTATAATTGACTACAAATTAAAGAAAAAATACATTGAATTGTGATACAAATTTAGTATCTAGAAGTTCATCTTGATACAAAGTTTTGAAATATTAAAGTTTTTTAATATATACCCACCTATAAATAAAGATATCGCTAATAATTTAATATTGAATTGACTACCGTAAAAAGTCAACTGAGAAGATTTAAAAGGGAAAGAGAGAGACTCATACATATCATATTAAAATTCTTCGTTTTAAAGAGTACTACTTTAGTTTTATAATAAGTTTCATTCATTTCAAGAATTTTTTATGTAATTCATGAGTATTATCTATAAATTCAAACCACAAAAATTAAATTGAAAAAAACAAACCAAAAACTTAATATAAAAACAGTGGAGTAGAAAATGAATTAAGAGAAGAAACTACTTATTAAATAAATTAGGTCACAAATTTATTTCTCCCTCACACAAATTAATTTCAAATAAAAACTTTCAATTTCAATTTAAAACTTCCGCTTTTCTTAAAGTTACAAAAATTAAAAGGAAAATTATTTTAAATAATCCAACATTTTCCTATTTTTTTCCAAAAAAGAAATCACATTCTTCACTGTCAACGGAAATAATCCTGTTAGAATATAAATAATTGTTCCTGGGCCATAACCACAAACTTGAGCTTTTGGTTGAGTTGGTTCCTTGACATGGTATCAGAACCTCATTGACTAAGAGGTCACGGGTTCGAAACTCAGCGCCACCCAGTTTAAAAAAATTTAAGATTTCACGTGCAAGACTCGAAAAAGACTACGCCTGCACGTGAGGGGGGGGGGGGGGGG